TCCTGGATCTATTTTCCAGGTCAGTTATTTTTCCAATGAGATATTTCACATTGTCTTCTATTTTTTCATTCTTTTGCTTTTGTTTTATTGTTTCTTGATTTGTCATAAAGTCATTAGCTTCCATTTACTCCATTCTAATTTTTAAGGAATTATTTTCTTCAATGAGCTTTTTGGCCTCCTTTTGCATTTGGTCAATTCTGCTTTTTAAGGCATTTTTCTCCTCATTGGCTTTTTGGACCTCTTTTACCATTTGGCCCAGTCTGTTTTTTAAGGTGTTATTTTTTTCAGTATTTTTTTGTGTATCTTCTTTACTAAGCTGTTGACTCATTTTTCATGATTTTCTTGCATCACTCTCATTTCTCTTCCCAATTTTCCTCTACCTCTCTTACTTGATTTTTGGAATCCTTTTTGAGCTCTTCCATGGCCTGAGATCAATTCATATTTTTCTTGGATGCTTTGGATGTAGAAACTTGGACTTCATTGTCTTCTTCTGAGTGTGTGTTTGGATCTTCCTTGTCACCATAGTAACTTTCTATAGTGTGAGTTATTTTTCCCATTGATCACTCATTTCCTCAGCCTATTACCTGACTTTTAACTCTTTGTTAAAATAGGTCTCTTCTTCCGGGGTGGAGGGTGGAGGGTGCACTGTCTCAAGCTTTAGGAGTTTTGTGCAGCTGTTTTCAAAGATACCTATAAAGACTTGTAAGTTTTCATTTCTTCCAAGGTGGTGTAATTTAAGGAGAGGGGTGTTTACTCCTCTCCTGGCCTGTGCTCTGGTCTGTGAGTGACCACAAGCACTCTTTTATGCTCTGGAACTGTGAGGAGGGTCCTCCCTCCACAGCAGCCACAAGTTCTGCTATGCTAGTGCTCCTTCTCACCCTGGGGCTGCCACCCAGGACTGAGACCCACATCCAAGTATGGGCAGAGCCACAGAGTCCTGCCCCAGTGCTAGCAAAAATATCCCTGTAATCTCTTGACCTGTTGTTTCACCCCCTCACTGTCTGTGGGCTGAGAGCTCTGGAAGTAGCTGTTGCTGATTCAATGACTCTCAAGGTCTGCTCTGGTCAGGCCTGTGCTGAACTGCACTCCTTTCTCACCCTGTAGCGACAGACCTTTACTGCTGATCTTCCAAGTTGTCGTGGGCTGGAAATTTGTTTCACTCCATCTTTTTGTGAGTTCTGCTGCTCTAGAATTTGTTTAGAGTCATTTTTAAAGGTATTTGGAAGGGTTTGGGGAAGAGCTCAGGCAAGTCCCTGCCTTTACTCCACCATCTTAGCTCTGTCTCCCATAATGTTTTTCTTTACCATATTTTATGTGTGTATGTGTATAAATGTGTGTGTTGTTGTGTGTGTGTTCATTCTTCCTTTGATTCAGATGAAACTGAGGTTCATGTAGTACCCAACTGTTTTGTTTTGTGTTTGTTTGTTTTTTCCTATTTGTTTAATTGCCATTGTATGTGAGAAAGTAAATTCCTCCCCTTTCTCCTCCTTTTCTGCCTAGTATATTTCCCATTTCTTTCTCAATTCCTTCTTCTCATAAGAATATCAAAGCAGAACAAAACCATTTGCATTCCCTTCCCCTTCTTAACATATTATGTAACCCTTCAAGACATTAGCATTCTGAAAGAACATTCTTTCTTTTCCCTTATTAGATTGTAAACAATTTACCAACACATATTCCCTTCCAACTGATCAAATGCATCTACTTTTGTGTGTTTCTCTTGACTCCTGCATTTCAAAGTTTCCACTTAGTTCTGGCCTTTTCATTGTTGTTGAGTTGTTTCAGTTGTGTCCACCTCTCTGTGACCCCATTTGGGATTTTCTTGGCAAAGATACTGGAATGGTTTGCCATTTTCTTCTCCAGCTCATTTTACAGATGAGGAAATTGAGGCAAACAGAGTTAAGTGACTTGCTCAGGGACCCACAGCTACTAAGTGTCTGAGGCCAGATTTGAACTCAGGTCTTTTCTTCCTCATTCTAGGCCCAGCAGCTAGCTGCCCATCCTTTTCATTAGGAATGATTAAAAGTCCTCTATTTCATTAAAGGTTAATTTCCCCCCATACGATTATTTTATCGAGTTTTATTGAATAGATTTTGTTTGTAATCCCTTACATTTTGCCTTTGGAAATAGAATATTCCTAGCTTGCTAATTTTTTATAGTAGCAGTTTTATTGATTGATGATTGATACTGATGATTCTGACTGTTGCTCCTTGGTACTTGACCTCTTTCTGGGTATTTGCAGTATTTTTTATTTGACTTGGAAGATCTAGATTCTGGGTTATGATGCTCCTTGGAGTTTTAATTTTGGAGTTTCTTTCAGGATGTGACTGGTGAATACTTTCTATTTTTGTTTTGCCCTCTGATTGTAATAGAACTTGGCAGTCTTCATTAAAAAGTCTTTCAAATGTAGTAGCCAGGCTAATCTTTTGGTCATAATTTTCAGTCCAGTTGTGTAATTCTTCTTTCTCCTTCTTTATTTGTCATCAGTGTCTCATCCATTATGAGCAAGTATCCTTTCCCTTCTTTTATCTACTTCTCAGCACAGCTAAAAACAAACAAAACAAAACAAAAAACTTTTATTTTGTTGTCCTTAACATTCATCCTCTTCTGAGATTTAAAACTCCCAAAAGTTTTCTAAAGAGACAATGCCACTGTTCTGTATGCGTTATTTTGTGTTTACTTACCCCTAATTTCCTCTTCTGTATACCTGTCTTTAAAAAAATCTGAGATGGTCACTGAACTTCTTAAGACACACCCCTTTGTTTAGACTGCTAACCCTTTTCTTCCACCTTAGAATTGAAAAGTTTGTGTTGGTAGAATTTCATTCTTGAAAACTTCCTTCTGGGACTGTCCCTATAGAAATTTATCCTGTAAAATCTTTAGGATCTTTTCTCTAACCTCTTTGAAATCTATTCTTCTAAAATGGAGGGTACATATCACACGATGCCTAACTTTCCTCTTTTTTTTTCTATTGCCATTTCTAAGGCAGAGTATTTGTCTTCACTCATAATTTCTACTTTCAACACCATTTTTCTAATTGTTTAGAATCAAATAAAAAATAACTTCCATTTATTTATTCTACATTTTGAAGAATGGAGTTTCCAATTAGGGAAATCAGTAAGCTGCTCGGCCAAACAGATTCTAGATGATTGAACGTCTCCATAATTACCATATCACGCTTCTGGGCCAGGTTTGTGATATGTTTCCCAAGCTCTTCACCTTTCCCTTTTTCTGACTGGGTGACCAGAGTGATGATATTGCTCCCTTTTCTTCTCTATTGATCCTTGCCCAAATGCTGTTGGTCCTACTCAGGGACTAATTTTGGGGTCCTTTGTTTCATCTCTTCTATTCATTTACACATCAATAAGTTATTTCATTTCTTTGGAGAATTCAGTACTCAGTGCATTGAAATGAATTGAAGAAAAGAGGGAGAGGTATCAAATTTGGCCCTTCTTCCTTCCTCTTAGGCTAATAAAAGTTGGTGGGGGAGAAAGTTTAAGCTGTAGCTAAAAATGGTTTTTGGCATTATATATGGCTTTCAGTTATTTGTGAAATGATCAACAGAATGGCCAAGTGGGAATTACTCAGTTTCATGTAAATGTTATGTGTATGCATATATGTGTCTCTACATATATATTTGGATCACAATATATATTCTATATATGTATGTATCTATCTAAATAGTGTTTTGTTACATTTGTGTTCAAATTAAAACCATAAGCTTTTGGATTCATTAATGATAAAATACTATACGTGAAATATATATATATGTATATGTACATGTACAAAATAGTTAATGTTCTAGTAACTCTCTTAGAGAAGATGGCAATTGTTTTCTCCTGCCAAAAATTTTCATAGAGAAATTTTCAAATTTCTTTAGTTACTGAGATATTGACTTGAAAATCATTTATTTTACTACCTTTTAGGGGAAAATAAATCTTGATAATTTATTTATATATTATTTAAAAGTAATTAAACTGTATTTTCTTTAAAAGACTAAAAAATTCAGGCTGATTTTCCTCTAATTATGTCAACTTAATGAGGTTTAATTATTTAAGAAAGGTATTGATCATTAGATCTTGCTATTGAACAAGAAGTAAATACGGGAAGTGTCATAATATTCTTTATGTAACTGGAACCAGGTATCTGGATCCAGCATAACATGCAGATTAGCAAATTAATCTGAATGCCAGTATGGTTTCATATAGTTTACTTTAAAGCAAATGTATGCTTTAAGTAAGGTAATAGTAACTATACACCACTCTTCTTGCAACTTTCATTTTAATTGGACCATCTTGTGTTTAGGAGATAGTAAATGCTTCTTCTTATAAACATATATATGAAATTAAAATGCAACATAAATATGCCTATAATATCTAAATGAATGTGCAATAGAAGTCAGGATTCTAAATATATAAAAGATTCTTATTAAAATTATTCTGAATATATTCAGATCTTTAAAATCAGAACTATCAGTTTCTAATCTATTAAAAATTCAAAATATGTTTTTCATGCAGCTGGAAAATAAGATATACAGGCAATGGGGTGTAGAAATCTATCCTGCACTACAGGAAAATGAAGGGGAAGGGAATAAGAGAAGGGGGGGTGATAGAAGGGAGGACAGATTAGGGGAAGGGGTATTCAGAATGCAGGCCATCTTGGGGAGGGGCGAGATGGTGAAAAATTTAGAACTCAAAATCTTGTGGAAGTGAATGTTGAAAACTAAAAATAAATTAATTTTAAAAATTCAAAATATGAATATTCCTTCTATCACCTTTCTAGGTATGCCAGTACATTAAATCTGAAAAGTTTTCAGTTTTTTTGCTAGAACTTATCCTTTTTTGTGGCAAAAATAAACAGTAATACAATAGAATTATGATTATTTTACTTTATTTTGCTTCTCAAATACTACTAATAGCAAATGATTCTTTCTGAGACTTAGTTTCATTAATGATCAAAAGTAATTAATTGGCACCTTTTACATTTTTTTCCTTTTACAGGACAGAGATTCTTTCTGCCAACAGATGTCTTTCTGCTTGACTGAACTGCACCTCTGGTCTTTAAAGAATACCTTACATATTGAAGGTAAGTCAGCTCTAGACCAGTTTTATTCTTCGTTAAAGAAAAATAACAAAATTGGAACCAAATAATTAATACCAAAGCCTGGAAACTCTAATTGAACAATTATTGCTTTTTTAATGTTGAAATGGCTTGCATTCATATAAGCTTTAATGTTTGCAAAGTGTTTACATATGTGAACTCGTTTAAATTTAAAATATGTTAATAATTAGTTATTCATAAATTAACATATTATTAAGTATTATAGAATTTCTTCTTATGATCTTGGTTAGCAGTGTGTTTATTTCAGCTTATATTAGAGTAGAATTTTCAGTAGTGAAAGTTAATTTTATTGTGACTGATTTCTTTTGGTTTTAAGATACACATTTTCAATTTTATTCTGGGTTCCCACTACTAGCTAATTTCTATTTATTAGTATTAATAGGCTAGTTGATAACAGACAAGTAACTTGATACTAAAATAACATTTTAGACATATGCAGGGAAGATACCTAATTATTATTACATTCTTTCATTTTCTTAGTATTTTAAATGTTTTTGGTAGAAAAAAGTGCTTTGAAACATAGAATAAAGCTTAGGTTTCAAGCATATTCCATTAAGAAACAAATATTTGAAATTATTTTCTTTAATTATTTGAGTTTTCCCTCAAAAATATTTTAATTTTTTATTTGAGAGCAGGCTTACCTTATTAACATGTGTGTGTGTGTGTGTGTGTGTATAGTACATACATATTTAAGTTAAAACCATAAACTTTTGGATTCATTAAAGGTAAAGTACCTTATGTGAAAACTACTATTTTTTCATAACATCAAAGACATAAAACTATCCTGTACTCTTGTTTCCTACGTTCATGGGAATTATACTCACTGTTGTTTCATATGGGTGAGAAAGTAGTCATACTTAAGAACTACTTCTGTATTTATTGTGAAAGCCACAACAGAATTATTGCTTCCTTTACAACTTTAATAGTAATATTAGCGCAAGTTATTTTGTGTTAACTTAAATATTTTTAAATGTTTAAATTGTTTAACTATTTCAACATTTTTGATTAATTGGGAATATAAGGTAAAAATAGTATCAGGTATATTTGTGTTTATGACAAGGTGATGACTTATTGGATGAAAAGTAAGTTAAAAAAAGATAGCAGATACCGAAATGTTTCTTTTTTGTGCAGGAAGAATTTATATATATATATATGTAAACACGGACATGTATAAACGTTGAAAAATCCATAATTGAAAGTCAGCTAAAACATAGAGATATTAACTTTAGATATAGACGTTTGCGGTACTGAAGTCACCTAACGTAAGGATTTTTAGTAAGACATTCAGCCTGAGATTTGGAAAAGATGAATGTATGCCTTGCTTTTTTTTTTTTTTACTGGTGAACACTGATGACAGTGTACCTTAGGGCTAAGAGATGAATTAAAAAAAAATAATTCCACTAAGATTAACTTTTCTGAAAAATATTTCCAGTCATTCAGCTTCATCATTAAAATTAAAATTAATTTTAATTAAAATATTATTCATCTGTTGCTAGGATTTAAGTGTTATTAACTAATTAGAATGAAGTGTTGACTGATGCAATGCAGGCTCATGGTTGAGAAAGCCTGTGCATTTTATTGCACACAATCTGCAAATCAGACTTACTTGGTTAAGTCTGTGTACTAGAGATATAGTTAATGTTATGATTCATAATGCTTTCATGGAAAGCCCAAACAGTGGTATTAACACAATATCCCTATATCCTTAGAAGACTAAGTGAGGTAAATAGAGAGACATATTATTAGCACCTGTGTGTAAGTAGAGAAAGTCATATGTGGAACTGCTTAGGAACTTTTCCAAGTTCATGTAACAACAGTGTAAGAATGGAATCCAACATTATTTCAAGGACACTAAAGGCCATATTTCAGGGAAACATGGGAAAATATGGGTTTTTTTCCTATCTATAAAAAGAAACATTGAAATTGTATGTAAAGTCTACAAGTCATATTGCTCATTTCTGATTCTTTAAAAGTGATAGAAATGTTTCATAGATTGAGTATAGACATTCATTTTACTTACAGTACACAGAGCTCGTGATGCTGTTCGTACTTCAGACTGGTACTATATTTGGGCTTAGAGATCAGCTATAGGGCAAGTATGTATAGCTAGACTGTTCTGGATTGAGTTCTTTCTCAGAACCTAAAATACCTTTGTCATCTAAGACTGGGGCTGTATAAATAACTGTTGAGAAAGAGCTGAAGTCATTAGGGCTGTTTATGACTTGGATAGTTCTAACTGAGCCAAGGTGAAGCATTGGTTTTGAGGTAGTGGCTTTACTTAGCCCTATGCCAGAGACCTAATACTTGGAAGTGGGAATTTGGCTTAGTTTCAAGTGCTGCAATTCAGATTTCAGAGAGTTGGGAACTCTGCTTGCTATATTTCTAGACTTTCATATTATAGCTTAGGCAAAAGTGAAGACATGGAATTTTAAATTCTTAGGAATAAAAAATACTTTACAAATTTAAAGAAATAGAAATAAATTGCTTCATTCAAAATGCAAGTACAATTGTGTGTTGAAGGGGGCAAGCCAAATAAGTACAAATAACTGCTATATTTTGATGAGAGAAAAGTTGTCAAGGTTGCATTTAGTCACTAGGGGGCACTCCATACTGCTCTCATATACATTAGCAATAGTCCTTTTGTCATTATGGAAAGACAATTTATGTTACCCAAAAGAAAACACAAGCTGATTATTTCAGTACAGGAGTTGAATATAGGAAGGTATTAATATTCATCTCTCTCTCTCTCTCTCTCTCTCTCTCTCTCTCTCTTTATATATATAATATATATATATATATATATATACACACATATACATATATGTGTGTATATATACATATATGAAAAAATAAGTTTTTAAAGTTAATCTGCTTTCCTGTCATTAAAGTTTGAGATAGAGCCAAATGCCTGAGAAATATCAACTCAGCCTTCAACACAACCCCATCCCACTTAGTTCTGGTGTAGCCACAGCCTTAGATTCTAATTTGAATGGCCCTCAGAAGTTCATTCTGCTTAATCCACAGCAAGCCTGAGAAGTTTATTCCCTACCATACCTCCCGCCATTTCTTCAACAAACTGACTATAAATCTCTGGATGACCAGGTAGTTGGTGGACCTTCCCTGAGGATTTCAGTCAGCTACAGGACAGGATTAGTGTGGGTCCAGGAATGCTGAACTGAACCAGAGTAAGGAGGATCACAACCCCAACCAGCATTCTCTCCAGGTCACTTGTCTTCATTCTCCATTGGCGGATTAGAATTTTCTTTTTGGGTCTTCTTCTGGGATTCCCCCTGCTAAAATCCAATCTGACTTAGTTTTCCCCCCCAAAGGTGTTTACCATAAATTAATATTATTTCTTCTCATTATTTAGACAGAGACATTGGGATCTACCAGTATTATGAGAAGAAAGACTCAGGTAAAAGAAGTATACTTTTAACATTTTAATTAAATTAAATATCCTAGATGATAAGAAAAAATGAGATTTTTAGAACACCATCCATAGTATCTCTAGGAATGGATTATTCAGGAAAAGTCTGCTTTACTTTCCTAGAAATTCTCAAAGTTGGTATGTTTTTCATGTAATATAGTCTTTTTTAATGTGAGGTAGCAAGAAAAATTTATATTTTTATATTGATCAGACTGACTGGACTGTCCAGTCACTTCTATTAATTGGCATCCCAGTAGAGGGCATCATAAACGCGTGGAACTACACCTATTCTGTGCTCCTGACTCCTCACCTGTTATCTGAAATAGGCATTTCTGAGTGAATGATCAATTTTCTTTATCTGATTAATCCTGTTAATCCTAGAAGTTTCACGATGGGCCGAAAGGTCTTTCCAGCTAGAGTTACTTCCTGTTTCAGTACCGGTTCAGGTAGAGCTTGTGTGGGCATCCCGAGTGCTTAGCTTGGTGGTTAATATGTTGTTTCCATAGTTCTATTGACAGACTGACTCAGCTTCTGGTCAGGATTCAGTTGCAGCTCACTTCACTATCTGATGAGATTGGAGGCTCAGGAATATTGGTCCACCTGTTGTGCTGAATAAGCCTTCTTTCACTGCAAATTTAAGATATCTCTCTATGAAGTGAAAACAAAGCTGTCTTCTTTGTAGAATGGTGTTTGCCTTAGAATAATTTTTAAATCTTTATAATAATATCATGACAAAAGTTATAAAGTTGACTACTAAACTTTTCTTGCTTCTCCTTCCCCTATAGTTTTACCAACAGATCATGGTTACTTAGAAGAGAAGCAACAATTGGCAGAATGTAAGCATCTTTTATGGTATTTTTTTTAAGAATTGCTATAAAATTATCATATTTTATTGTTGCTTATGTTTCTGACAGAATGAAATAACACCCAGCTTTATGCACAAAGGTATTTCTCATTCTGAAATTTCTTTTGTTTTATGTTCACAGATTTTTATTGCTTTAGTGAAATGAAAATATTAATAAGAATCATGTCTTAGATCTCACTGATTTAGTCTGTTAAAACCTGTGTCTAACCAAAGTTTGAGTAAGTCTATTTTATATAGCATAATATGGCTATTAGCTACTCTCACAAAATGAATTTATGTTGACTTTTACTTTCATAGTGAATGTTTTGTACTGTGAGTATCATTAAAATTTAATGTCCTTATATTTACACACATTTTAAAATTTATGCTTTATAATTATTTAATAATACAGTTTAATGATTGTACATTACAGTGAATACAGTAATTTGGTTTAAGTAATAAAATTTTGGAAAAAGTAAAAATACCTGAAACTTGTTTTTCCCTCATTTAAAATGAAGGGTGCTGCCATGTGCAACTTTAAAAAATTGTAATATTGATTGCATCATAAATTTTAAGTTTATTGTACTTAGAATTAGGTTGATTTAGAAAAGATAAGCAGCAAAGTGGTTTTACTACATTAACTTAGCTGCTGCAATTGACTATGTAACTTTCCCACACTATTATGTAGAATTATAACCAAGTGAATAAAGAATATTTTTATTCATTTTCATACTGAACATATAATATCATAATGTATTTAATATGTATTAAATGCTTCTTTTTAGCCAAACTGATTCTAATTCCTTGATGTCTGTAATTTTTAAATGTGTTTCTTATAGCTAGATTTCATTTTTCAAATAAATGCTTTTGAAGCAAATTGGGTCTTAGAGATTTTTAAATATTTAAAAGTACTTTTTCAAAAAGATAACTTGTTTAAGCACAAGAATGTTTCTAACTTTGTCGATATTTTCCATTTAAATCTGGCTTATCCTCAGTTGTTGATTTTTCTGGTTGGGTAAAAATCCAACTTTTGATGCCAAATTGTCAATTATTCCCAGTTTTACATTTATTAAAAATAAGTACATATATGACAATTGTATTCATTATTGATCATCTCCTTTATTATATGAAACTAAGGTATTTGAAACTCTGGAATGACAATTTTTGCCCTGAATTTTCCATGTCTAAACTGAATGATTACTTAAGAAGGAGTTCAATACCTGTACCTTAATGAACTAGAGTCTTAGAACTGGGAAATTTACCCGTTGTCTCTGAAGGCCAAATATGTGGTTGCCATTACAAAATTATAGTTACTGGGGTCATTATTTGTTAAAATCTTGTTCCTGTAGTGAAGCTTTTCAAAAGGTTATCATTTGACAGTGGAAGTGAAACCTACTCCACCTCAATCATATATATTCACTTTAAATTTTATAATCTATTTCTGATAGTGAGTAGGATTTTTTTCTATGTTGATTTTTAAAGAATCCACATTTATCTAAATGCAATCCATGTTTTGTTTGCTAGCACGAGACTATCCTTGGATACTCAAGAATCGACGTCCAGAAAAACTGAGAGATACTCTCAAGGAGTTGGAGGTACCTTTCTCAAAGTTTTAAGAATGACAACAAACAATCTTTGTTATAAACTTCTTTCAACAGTTTTAATTTTCATAAAGGATCAGCCCTCCAGGTGATGATAACTTTGCTTTTGTCCGGTGAGCAGTTTCCAAACAAATGCATCTTTGTTTGTGTGGCATGCTGATCTCCTCTGCTTGAAAATTAGAAGCACTTTAACTGATAATGACAGTATGTACGCAGGCATGTATATATGTATGTATTTGTGTATGGGGACGGCCAATTTTCCTCTGCTTTGTTTTTCTGTGTCATTTAGGAGCTGATGCAAAACAGTCGATGTGTGTTGAGCAAATGGAAGAACAAATATGTCTGTCAGGTAAAACCGTATGACATGATTTCTTGATGTTCAGCCAATGGAGCCGAAAATGATCATTCATGTCTTTTCTTAGGTTTTAATGTTAGTCAGTAGGGGAAAAAAAAATCCTCCTTAAAGGAGAAAATGTCATAGCTTAGATTCTATTTATTCAAGAGTACAAACTAACACAAGACAATCAAATTGACTATCATTCCCATCAATCAATACATTTGCAGAATAGCAGCTTTCAATATCTAAATGTGAATAAAATATTTAAAATATTATATGGAGCATTAAACATTTATTAGCAAGACCCTGTGTTCATGAATAGTGATTATGCTAGATGAAAGAAAGCTATTATAGTATCTCATATCTATGGGGAAGGGAATAAGCATTTATACAGTACCTACTGTGTGCCAGGCTCTGTGCTAAAAGCCCTACAAACATTATTTCATTTGGATCATAAATATAAACAGCCACACGATGTTTAGAAAATCAACAGGTGGATTAGAGTTAGACCTAAAAGAGGAAATCCATGGAGATGTAGTTTTAGGAGCCATCGATGTACCTTGGGCTCCATGTTGAGGTAAATCTAGATCCAGAATACAAGAAAGGTCCCAATTAATTGTCCTAATTTGTCATTGGTCATCACATATTCCCAATTCAATGAATTTATAAGTGCATCCACTTTGGTAGCAGATTCCAAAAAGTCCATATACCTGTCAAATGTTTACCTGCCTCTAGTCACCTTTTTAAAAATTCTGCATTGTTGCATTAATAACACAAAGAATGGTACTGTTAACCCTATGGGATATGTTTTCCTATTTCAACTAATCAATAAACAAGCATCTGTTAAGCATCTACTATGTCCAGGGACTGTGCTAAGCATTGGGAATAGGCAAAAATGGTCCCTGTCCTCAAAGGACTTACATTCCAATGAGGAAGGTAACATATAAATACGAGATAGATGTAGAAGAGGTGAAAGGTAACAGAAGTGAGAAAGACAGAGGAAAAAATTGCCAGCTTAGCCATTTTCTTTACAGCTTTTGTGGTGGTTGATGGATGCCTGTAGTATCACATGTACTTGTCTTTCACATCTGATGACATTTTATGCTCATTTGTCATAAACTGTGATTTGCTACAGGTAATTAAAAAGTGGCTATTTTTTAGTGTGAGTTACTCTCAGTGCTTAATATTTCCTTCAGCCTGGCTTCGTGGATAGAGTGCTGGACCTGAAGTCGGGAAAGCTTGGGTTCGAATCTTGCCTCAGTCACTAACTAGCTTTATGTTCATGGGCAACTCATTTAACCCCTTCTGAACTTCAGTTGCCTCATCTGCAAAATGGGAACAGCAATACCTATAGTAGTTACCTCATAGAACTGTTGTGACGCTCAAATGAGACAATGTGTGTACGGTGTTCTGCAAACTTTAAAGTGCTATTTTAATTTTAGCTGTTATATTTATTATTCTCGTATGAATGCTGCTTAAAACAATGAAATAAATAATCTTTGAGCTGACATTTCCCAAACTGTGTTCCCTAGAACTCTGATGATATGAAGCAAGCTCCATGAGAGCAGGGACCGTCTTTTGCCCCTTTTTGTATCCCCAGTGCTCATCACAGTGCCTGGCACATAGTAGGTGCTTAATAAATATTTACTGAATGAGTGCATGAATGAATGGAAGGGGCTATCCAGCACAGTGGACAGAGTGCTAAGCTTGGAGTGAGGAAAACCCGGGTTCATATTCTGCCCCAGACACTTAGTAGCTGTGTGACTATGGGCAAGTTGCTCGATCTCTGTTTCTTGGTCTGTAAAGTGAGGGGATTGGATTCAGTAGTCTTTAAAGTCCCTTTTAACTCTAAATATGATTCTCTGATCGCATCCTCTTTCTGGAATCAGGAAGACCTGAATTCAAATCTAACCTCAGACAATGGGTGAGGTTAGCTGTGTGAACCCAGGCAAATCACTTAACCTCTGTCTACCTCAGCTTCCTCAACTCTAAAATGGGGATAGTAATAGCACTTCCTTTCCAGGGTTGTTATGAGGATCAAAGGAGATTAATATTTGTAAAAAGCACTTAGCACAGTGCTGGGCACATAGTAGGTGCTATATAAATTTGTATTCCTTTCCCTTTTCCTTCCCAATTTAGAGGAGCCCCCTGACTCCTATTCCCACCTAACCTTGGCTCTAACTTCCACCTCAGGTCTGAATGGAGCTAGACACATCCCAGGACAAGAGGCACCCTCCTTCATTTTTCTGACTCCTGCTTCCATATGCATATTCCCCTTCATCTCCCTCCAAAAAAGGGAAAGAGATGGAGAGAGACAGAGATGGAGGCAGAGAGAGACAGAGAGAAAGACATGGACACAGAGAGAGAGAGAGAGAGAGAGGGAGAGAGAGAAGGAGGGAGGGAGGGGAGAGACAGTGACTGACAATGAGAGACAGATACACACAGAGAAACAGAGACAGAGAGCGAGGAGGAGGAGGAGGAGCTGAAGAAGAAAGCCCATGCTGCTCTGACCTCAGCTTTGAGGTTTATATTTACAAACACTTGGACTCTGGCCATTTCATAACCCTGGCCCTGGCTAATGCAACCGAGTCTCCACCTCCTTTGGCCGGGACTATGACACCCTGCATTTGTACACTCTTTCACCATATCTCACTGTTTATTTTTGAAGGAAATGATTTTGTCCAGTCCCTGTATTTCAAGCCCCAAAGTTCTCTTTCCCAATCAGTTTGGGAAATATTGATGTAAAGTCCTTTTAAAAAACTTCATTAAAACCTCAGTTTGAATATCAATCCTTTCCAATGCTAGTCCCAAATCTATTCCAAAGTATAGAACCTAGTGAAGCTTAAAATGAAGTTCTTAAATGCCATTACTCACCTTGAAACTAGTCTCAAAATTATTTGACCAGAGGGCAAGACGGCCACCTCTCGTCAGGGGTGTGTCTGGTTGCCTCCGCCCTTGACACCAGTGGGGAGGTTGAAACTTGTCAGACATGTCGAAATATGTAGGGCAGCATCACAATCCACAGTTCTTCCTAGACATATTTTACAATATTTTCATTTAGCGAGCATGTTTTTGAAAGTGCAGGTTAGTAGAGTATATGTGTAGAGTTAAATTGTTTTGCTTTATATATATTTGAATGCAAGTCCTTCTATTAGAATTCAGTGGAGTATAAATTGTAAATAAACATAGAACTATTTCAGCTCTGAAATTGGAGTAGGTGTTTTCAGGCTTTCATGTTTTTCATCAGCCCTACAATACCACTCTTTTGAGCTGTTGAACCGTATAGTGCATAAAACATTAATAATTATGCAGCGCTTAAATAGGAGATTTGATATTTGATCATAGTGTGTGCTCAGGAAGTTTTATTTTGTTTCTGTGACATGGTGATAGGCTAATCCTAAAATATACTTTTTTACTATTAACAGGTTCTTCATGTATATTTTAATAAAAACAAAAACACAAACACCTGAACTTTTACTCTATTTAATGTACTAACTCTGTCAAAGTAATAAGATGCCATCTTCACCCTTAACATTTTCCATTCGTTTTTGTGTACTTCTGGAAATGGCTGTACCTAATCAATCCCTAAACTAATGAATCTATTCTGTACTTAAAAATTGTTTTTAAGCTGCATTTCCAGAACAGACTACTGATGCTCTAAGTAAGCGTATCTCCAGTTGCCTTCAGTTCCCTTATTTTAGTGGGCCCTGTGTTAGGATGGGAACTGAGATTCTGCAGCTTCCAGGATAATGTATTATGATATCTCACAATGTCAGCCGAAGCCAATAAGTTTTTGATTCTATTTAGGACAAGAGTGGTAGTTGGTGACTAGAATATTTTTTTTTAGTTTTTAGAAAAGCTTTCATCCAATGTCTGTTGGCCTCTCCTCCTTAAGGAAAAAAAAAATTAATTGAATGAGTCCCTGTGCTAAAAATTATGTGACCTCTCCCACTTCTGAGCCACATTTAATTCTTCAGCCTCCTCCCTTCCCTCTCACCTCCTCTAAATAGTCAAATAAAATTTGTTTGGTTGCTGCTAGGGGCCTTCTATTTGGAGAGCCCCATCATTTGTTTCCTAAATCCACCCATTTACAGAAGAAAATGGCAAAGATAATAGTATCAAGTATTCTAATACATGCAGTTTGAGCAAACTTATTTCCCCATTAAGAAACAAAAAAGAACATATATAGGTTCAAACGGTTGTCACTGTACATTTTAGTTAATGTTGTTGGCCCCCAATGATGTGTTTAAAGCTATATTTCTAAGCCCAAGGTCTTTACATACTTTTCCTAGTTTGAGATGTATTGCAATATTTTATGCCTGTGGATTTATTAGTTACCAATCAGATTGTCTATTAGAGTTTTTGTTGTGGTGGTGGTGGTGGTTGTTCATTCATTCAGTTGTGTCTGACTCTTGGTGACCCTGTGGACTATACTATCCATAGGGTTTTCTTGGCAAAGATACTGGAGTGATTTGTCATTTTGTTCTCCAGTGGATTAAGGTAAACAGAGGTTAAGTGACTTGCCCAGGGTCACACAGCTAGTGAGTATTTGAGGCTGAATTTAAATTCCAGTCTTCCTGACTCCAGGCCCAACACTCTATCCATTGAGCTACCTATCAGCCTCCATTAGAGTTGTTAGCCTTCTAATAATAATTTAATTAAGGATCAATACTGAGGAGTAACTTTTTCCATAAAGTATTTCTTGAACTATTCTATTTTGGTTTTTGGTCATTTCAGTCATGTACGACCTCTTCATGACTCCATTTGGGTTTTTTTTGGCAGAAATACTGGAGTCGTATTCCACTTCCTTCTCCGGCTCATTTTACAGTTGAGGAACTGAGGCAAACAGGGTTTAATGACTTGCCCAGGTTCACAGTTAGTAAGTGTCTGAGCCCGCATTTGAACTCATGAAGATGAGTCTTCCAGACTCTAGGCCCAGTGTTCTGTCCACTGGCCACCTAGCTGCCCTGAACTATTTTATTACTCAATATATTTGGGTAATCTTGATAATA